TATATATATATATATATATATATACACAACAATTATAATGATAATGATATTGATAAAATCTGTTATTTGTTTCGATAAAGTATACTCGACATCGATTATAAATTTTATTAAATCGCTACTAAAATGCTTATTGTTAATTCTATACATAAATATTTATTTAATAAATATGATACAAACATATTTGTATTGATTGATTAAAAAAATATATACACTTACTCGTTGGGTTGTATTAAAATTTCGACTAAAAACGAATAAAAATCACCTGAAATGTGTAATTTTTTTTTATTTTATTTCTGCGTGAGATTTATAATTATTTTTTAATTATTGAAACGCAAATGCTGATAATTGTTCATAAAAAATTGATTTAGTCATATTTTTGACTAAGGAACCTCTGACGCGCATGTGCGTGGCTAGTTCCCTTGGGGCGAGGCACCGCTGAGTTTAATCATTTAAAATGTTGAACTTTTGATACATCCTAAATTATTTTTATTTTAAAATTGCGATAAAAATCAGCTTCTGCGAAGCAATTACAATCAAAAAAATAATTGTCTAGGAAAAAAATATATATATTAATTATTTTACTGTCAAAATTTATAATTATAATAAACAGAACAATAAAAGTATAAATAAATTATAATGTATACTGTTCGCTACGCGAAATAAAATGTACCTAAAGTTCGATCTCTATATACTGAAAATAAAAAATTAACGAAGATGTAAAAAAAAAAAAAATTAATTGATCAATTGATTGATGTGTGAATAAAAGTTATTTAAATACTTTATTTACTGACGATAAAGGAAGCGGAAATAGTGAGCTGACATTAATGAATTTATTATCGTTTGGTTGTGTTGTTTTTTTTTTTTTCATTAGAATAGCAAGTTATAATTATCAATATAAAAACGTCACAGTTCAGTATTACGTGATCTATTGACAAGTGTATGCTGTCGCGACAACAGATAAGAGATGAGACCATTGAAATATTGTGACCGGCTAAGCAAATGTGTCGTCTAGTTCTAGTATAAATTTTTCCGAGACGCATTAGTTGAAGTTTAATTGACGGTTAATATTTGTTATATTAATTGATATGTTTAGTTGGGTGCTAAGAATATTTTTGCTTGGTTACGTAGTGTGGGCACAAAAGGACCCGCATTATAAGGATGATCGTGATACGATGGTCCACTTGTTTGAGTGGAAATTTGATGACATTGCTGATGAATGCGAACGGTTTTTGGGACCTATGGGTTACGGAGGTGTTCAGGTATTCAATTATATTATTAATAATAATTATAATAAATTACAGTATCTTATATATCACAAAATTTACATTAAAATTAGTACTTATACGACAAGACTTTTTTATAAATATCAATCCTCGAAAAATCGCGAATTATTAAAAAAGTGGGTTTTCTTATAATATTAATATTTTTCTGGTTATGCAATTAAAAGTGGTTTAGCATAAATTTTTATGAATATTAATAATAATAATGATAATAATAACGAGCAACCTACAGTCACTATATACCTGCGAAGATTTACGGATTATGAATAAGAAAACTTTGTCTTAATGCTTTTTTGATATGAATAATCACACTATACACAGTTTGGATACTTTTTAAACAAATTGAAAAAAAAACAATAGTGCTATTACAGGTTCAATTACAAATAATTTAGTGGACAAATATGATGTAATAAATTTTAGAACCAATAAATTATTCAAAACTCCTTCAAAAAGTTAACACAAAAAATTAAATGTCACTGAAAAATATATAAAACCGTAAAAAGGTACTCATTCTTGCCAAGACCTTTCTGATGATAGCAAATTTAACTTTAAAAATTCCTTCAAAAATAAAAACATATTCGTTACAACTTGTAACAAAAATTACGTTCTCACTGATAGTGGAGTGGTCAGTGGACACGTAATTCTGTCCAGGTCGCTCAATAAAAAAATAAACAAACAAAAAAATGACTTGGGAGGGAACTCTTCGCCTCCTAAGCAACCAGCAGCTCTTCCTCAGGCTGGGTTAGTGCACGGTTCTTTTTGGACGCCAGTTGTTCTTTCGCTGGGGAAACAACAAACCCTTTATTTCCAGGGCCGATCCGCAGGTATTCAAGGGATAGATAACTAGTCTACGAATATTAGAAAAGAAAGGAGAAAGTAACTTACGTAAAATTAAAATATTAATGAATCACTTTCTTAATAATCAGTCGCAATATTAATAAAAATAAGCTATTTATTCAAAACACAAAATACTTAAAACTAAGTCCAGAGCCGAGTTCCTTTGCCGGTTGGACTAATAATAACAATAATAATAAATTTGCCGCGTACAATTATTAATAATTAATATAAATCCTGAGTATATTATTTAATTACGACGACGCTGGTTATATATTAAAAATCGTTTCTAAATATCATTGAAGCGAGATATACCCGAAATCTCCAGTCGGGTTATCTCGACAAAACGAAATAAACAAATAATACTGACTCGATTAATTAGTACCGACTTTTATGCTAATATATTTGCCGGGAGACAACACGGTGCGTGGTTAATAAAATGTCTCAACTTGTGAGTACTCACCAAAAAAAGGGAACTCGAACAAAAGTGCCAGATCCACACTCTTACACTTTGCGGGTTGCCGCGTGTCTCCCGATTTTTATTTTCTCAAAAAATCCGAGACCTCGTGTTCGATCACGAGGGCCTCTCACGTCGTTTTCTAAAATTACTGGTCCCTGTGCTCGCAATCGATATTCTAGGGAATTACCCGCGCGAGCAAAGGCTACGACTCATTACCAATAATTAGTATACAATGAATAATAAGATTATAAATATTAAAATACAAAATTCCTGAAATAAATGCCGAATTATTACTTAAGAAATGATGATAATAATACATAAATTATCAAATATAAATAACAATAAATGATATATAATATAACAATAGTTAAATTTTAGAGACACTGAGAGTGGATCTGTTGCCAACTTTAGGCGCAGAGAGGGTCGCATACACGAATAAAATTCGTGTGACAAACTCCTTACCCTCTCCATGATTTAAATAAAAAATTACTATCGCACAAAAAATATCAAAACTAATTTATTACACTGTTCACAAAAATTAAGGGAATAAAAAAAAATGCAAATTTTTTTTAGATTTTTGACGGACTGTATTTCAGCGGAAAATGATCGTATCACAAAAATAAAAAATGCATTTTGAAGCTCCGTGACTCCAGTTTTTAGATTTTGGGGTCAAATTTTTTTAGGAATTACGGTTTCAACATGATCCGAAGAAATAGAGCAAAAAAAAAATTTTCCAAGTTTTTGATTTTTTTTTCGCTCTATGGGCTCAGAAAAATTTTTTCAGACAAAGATACCTTATGAAACAGATAGCCTGTTTATTCAGCTTCAATTACATTTTTTGTTTAGCTTGATACGACCATTCGTTGCGGAGATATCCGAGATTAGACGAAAAAAGGACGTTTATGTCTTTAACCATCAATATCTCTGCAACCAATAATCGCACCGCAAAAAATGGACAGTTTTAAACTGGAAGAAATTTCCAATCAAATCCCATGAAACAATTCCAGACAAAAAAATCTTATTGATGTACGATACCGCTTTAAAGAAAGTTGAAAAAAGTGACATTTTCCCTTATTTTGGTTAATCGACTGTATCTTAACAAATATCGACGGGGAAGCTAGACATTTCAGGAATTTTTACACCTCAATGTACCCTTCAAAACCCTGTAAATTTTCAGATCGATCCATTGAGTAATTTTTCCGCCCCGAGTATTCAAAATTTTGAAAAAATTAAAGGAATAAGATTTTATCCATTATCGTGCTGCAATCTTCAGAAAAATGAAAAATTGATTTTTTTTGTTTTGCTCTCAATTTGCATCGGCTCATCAGTAAAATTGAATAAAAAAAAAGACAAACAAAAAAACTCGAAAATTAAGATAAAAAATTTTTTTTTTTGCAAACTTTTTCAACTTTTTTCAACTTTCTTTGAAGTGGTATCATACATCGATAAGGTTTTTTTCATGGAATTTTTTGATGGAATATTATCGGAAATTTCTTCCAGTTTCCAAAACTGTCTTTTTTTTTGCGGTGCGATTATTGGTTACAGAGATATTGATGGTTAAAGACATAAATGTCCTTTTTCGTCTAATCTCGGATATCTCCGCAACAAATGGTCGTATCAAGCTAAACAAAAAATGCAATTGAAGCTGAATAAACAGGCTATCTGTTTCATAAGGTCGCTTTGACTGAAAAAATTTTTCTGAGCCCGTAGAGGAAAAAAAAATCAAAAATTTGGAGAATTTTTTTTTCGCTCTTTTTCATCGGATCATGTTGAAACCGTAATTCCTAAAAAATTTTGACCTCAAGATCTAAAAACTAGAGTCACGGAGCTTTAAAATGCATTTTTTGTTTTTATGATACGATCATTTTCCGCTGAAATACAGTCCGTCAAAAATCTAAAAAAAAATTTGCATTTTTTTATTATTCCCTTAATTTTTTGTGAGTAGTGTATAAAGATAGTGCCGCGGCTAGATAACAACAGACAAAATAATCGGACGACAAAATAACCGAAGCTAAATAAACCGTGGACAAAATAACTATGTGACAAAAAAACCACAGAGAAAATAACCGAACGACATTACAACCATGTAACAAAATAATCAAATAATAAAAAAACTGATCGACAAAATATTATAATAAAAATATTTTCGAATAAACACACCCAAAATCCAGGAAAAAAGGGCACATCAAAATAGTAAGCTTATTTGTTGATCTATTTTCGAGAGATTAATTATAAACTTTTATGATCTGGATATTTTGCCCATGGTTATTTTGTCCGCGATTATTCTGTCGCGGTCATATTGACTGCGGTTTTTTTGTTGTGGCGCCCTCGACCTTTCCAATGATACTAAATTTGATTTTAAAAAATCATTTTATTATATAAATATGCCGAAGACAAAATTTTCATTATTCTCTTCATTACATAGATGGATTAATTCTTTCCGACTATTTGAAGGTCTCACCAATTAACGAAAACTTAATCATGCGAAATCGACCATGGTACGAGCGCTACCAGCCCCTGTCCTTCAAAATAAACACCCGTTCCGGAAACGAATCATCCTTCGCTAGCATGGTAAAACGCTGCAACGCCGTGGACGTGCGAATCTATGTAGATATCGTAGTGAACCACATGTCTGGAGACGCGAATCCAGCCGTAGGAACCGGAGGATCCACCGCAAACACCTCTTCAAGGTCCTATCCAGCGGTTCCATTCTCTTTTGCGGATTTCCACCAGCCCGTTTGTTCCATTAGCAACTACAACAACGCTACCGAAGTAAGAAACTGCGAGCTGTCCGGACTTCACGACCTGGACCAAAGTAAAGAGTACGTCAGGAGCAAGATCGTCGAGTTCATCAACCGGATCATCGACCTAGGAGTCGCTGGAATCAGGTTAATTATTAAACTCCATCATTTTTCATCCAAGATTTATCATTCATGATTTGTTGATCGATGAGCTGATATTTACGTTGATAATATCATTTAGAGTGGACGCCGCCAAGCACATGTGGCCGCAAGATCTCAAGGTCATCTACTCGCGATTGAACAACTTGAGTGTTGCTCATGGATTTCCCGCGAAATCCCGGCTGTTTATTTATCAAGAAGTCATCGATCTCGGCGGTGAGGCTATCAAAAAGGGAGAGTACACCTCACTAGGTCGAGTAATTGAATTTACCTTTGGAATCGTTTTGGGCAATTTCTTTCGGGGAAACGAACAGCTGAAGTTCTTGAAAAACTGGGGCAATGGCTGGGGACTCCTGCCCTCGGAAGATGCCTTGGTCATGATCGATAATCACGATAATCAACGGGGCCATGGAGCGGGAGGTGCTACGATTTTGACCTACAAGTTACCCAAGCAGTACAAGGTACAATATTTTATCATCAACTAGATACAGAGTTTACATATTGAGTTAACAAGTATATATATTTTTGATAAATTCAATGCATAATTATGCCTAATACACAATATCTATCTATTATCCCTCTTTAGCAATATCCCTATCAGATGTTGCCCAGTAATCTTAATGATACCTTTAGTGACCCTTAAAACTCTATCAACGCTCTTAGCAACTGTTACTAAGCAATAGTTGCCTAGCAACCATTGATGAGCAACTACTGCTTATCAATCATTGTTTAGCAACAACTGCTCAGCAACTGTTTCTTAGCAATCGTAGCTTAGTACCTATTGCCTATCAGGAATTGTAGCTTAGCAACTACTAACTCAACAGTTATCTCTAAATTGGTAATTCAGATGGCGACGGCGTTCGAATTAGCGCATCCCTATGGAACCACAAGAGTGATGAGTTCTTTCAACTTCACCGATCCAAGCATAGGACCACCAGCCGATAAGAATGGATCCATATTGTCCCCAGAAATTGACCCAAAAACTGGAACTTGTAAAAATGGTTGGATTTGCGAACATCGTTGGCACCAAATCCAACAAATGGTCGTGTTCCGTCTGGTGGCCAAGAACGATCCCATAAACAATTGGTGGGACAATGACGGGGACCAGATAGCGTTCTCTCGAGGATCAAATGCCTTTATAGCGTTGAATAATGATGATGAGGACTTGAAACAAAGTTTGGTGACTGGTCTTCCTGCTGGTAAATACTGTGACGTGATTACCGGGCAGGTTAAGAACAATAAGTGCACTGGAAAAACAGTCGAAGTCGGTAAAAATGGAGTCGCTTTTGTTGATATACCAGCCAGCGCGGAAGATGGCGTTCTTGCGATCCACATAGGCCGCCAGTCAAAGGTAAGACTTTAGGATTTTAAGGTTAAGGATTGAAGATTATGATGTGTTAATTGGTGATTGTTCTTTCAGCTCCAGTGATCGCTTTTTGGTAAATAAATTAGTAGATTAATAATTAGGTAAGGCTGTAGAAAAATAGTTTAATTTTGGCATTGTATTAAGCTGTTGCAATAAAATTTATGAGTAATAAGTTAGTTTAAATATTTTTTATTGTTAACTACCTGACAATCGCTAATGATGATTCTGATGATTATGATGATGACAATTATCAAGCTAGTCCAGATTTTTTTGATAATAGTGTCGATGAATTGAGTCGTCAAGCATCTAATCTAAGTTTAAGTAAATGTGCCAATTAGATAGAAGAAGCTAGCTTTCTTCCTTCTACTTCTCATCAACCACAAGTAAATATTATCTCTGAGACCTTCAGTGATGAAAGCAATTATTAAATTGAGGAAACAAGTTTATTTCTTTCTCCTGCTGAATTTGTGAATCGCGCATCCACTGCTGCTACTGAACAAGACAACCGTGATTCATATGACATAGTTGAAACTACTTCCAATGATTCTGAAGCTTCTGACAACGAAGTTAAAGAAAATCATAACTCATCGACTGATAATGAAAATATTGAGCTTGAAAAACGTACTAGTAGGATAAAAGCAATGCCTTATGAGTGGATAAAGAATAAAAGTAAATGGCTACATAATTTATTTATTTATTTTATTTATATAATTTATATGCCAAGGTATTAAGCCTAATGGCAAGTACAAAATATGTGTTTTGTCGAAAACTATCCAATGCGGATAATTCCCGTAATTGTTTTAAATTATATGATCAAGTTGGAATTAGGAAATTAAATAATAATACTTGGAATTTTTGGGGAACAATTTAAAAGAATTTATTTGTCCCCAAAGGAGGAAAACCCAGCTAGGCTGGGAAAAACCTCTTTGTTGAAAATTATACAAGTAAGTTGTATGTGTGTAAGTGTGTGTGTGTGTAAAATTACGTTGCAATAACGCAATAGGGGTGAGCTCAGCCGCCGTATAAAGAAAATTATCGATAATTTGAATTTGTACTGTCCCAAGGCGGGAGCTAGTAATATCTAATTAATTAGATGAACTATCTCAAGGCGAGAGTTAATAATGTTCAATTAATTAGATGAATTGTCTCAAGACAATAATTGTCTCTGGTGAGAGCTACTAATGTTTAATTAGTTAAATAAATAGTCTCAAGGCGAGAGCTAATAATATTCAATTGATAACAGAATGTTAGTCAATTGAGTTTGATAATTTCGTGTAGAAATTAGTCAAATGATTTGAAATTGGAATTTAATTATTTATAAGTTAAATTAAATAAGATCGTAATTAAATGTTAATAATTAATTCAATGTAATTAATGGTTAATATCACGCGTCAATTATGGATTGACTAAAGCCGCGTGGCTGATGCAATCCTTTGTCAACGGTGGCGCGTAATGGCCGCGTGGCGTCACTAAATAAATTTACTTGATTTTATTTATGTTAATTCACTGAACTATTAAACTGATTTAAATGAATTGAGAATTTAAAGTATAATTGAATCTACTATAATTATTTATATTTAATGAATAATTTAAATATTTGAATGAATGTGAGATGTAAGTAAGAATTATTAAATTGATTAGCACAGAGTAGTCGTACTAGTACAGAAGTCCAAGCACAACTGTTGCATCAGACCACGCGAGCCGGCTTCTCTACCGCTAACCAAGGCGCGCATGAGCGACGGCCATAGCGTCATACGATTATTCCCGAGTTTTAACGATTAAGCCCAAAGGCGTAATTCTTCTTATAAGTATTTGACTAGATCTCTTTTCTAGCGGTTAAACAATATGTAACAGATTCATTCAATCACATAAGTATTATAATGTATATTTAGAACATAAAAAAAATAATTCTATGTTCAGTAAAAAGAAAGAAAAATAACGTAATGCATAAAGGTACATAATCCAAACGATATTATGCTAAGTTAATATAAATGGTGGGCTTGAATACAAAACAGTCAATAGGAAAATACAACCAGCGAGGAAAATGCCATACTTATGTCAATGTCAGCAAAATAATGCTTTTTCTGTGAATGAAACTAAAAGACGAATTATTTTTGATGAATTTAGGAAACTGGGAAACATCAATCGACAGCGTGATTTACTTGGAAAATTTCTCATTGTGAAAAGCGATGAAAATAATAACAGATGACGCAACTACGTAAATTTAATTTAAATTCAATTTTGTTATCTTTATGTATTAATTACTAATTACTAATTGTTAATTATTAATTTTTAATTTTTAATTATGACTTTTAATTTTTCTTTAGAAACAAAATAACATACAGATTTAAAATAGACAATGCTTACGTCACAATCTGCCAAAAGCTTGTTTTAAAATTTAATTTCTCTCATTTATTTTTTGTTTTGTTCCTTATTTACTTTATTTTAGATGCTTATTTATTAAACAAGATTTCTGGAAATCGTTTAACATTGCAGTCGATTGAACTTCATTCAAAAACAGTAATTTATGTCATATGGCCGCAAAGTGGCGATTTTCTGACAACAACGATGTTGCGATATGAGCTTAAGGTTCGTGGCGGGAATGTACGAAAACGGGCATAATTTTAACTCTCGGAAATTTACGCTCGTTTTCGTAAATTCGCGTCACAAACTTTAAAGCGAATATCGTAAAATCGTCGTTGTCAAAATCGCCACTAAACGGCCGAATGACATACAATATTTTTTGTTATTATCGCTCCATAAGTTTAACTTTTGAGGGATAGGAGGCAAATAATGACATTCAAATTTTATGAAGTTTCACAAGAGCAAAAAAACTTAATTTTATATTAATTATTTTTTTATTAATATTTATTTATAACGCGTTTGTTATTTTATTAACATTAGGTCCGCTTCGTAATAAACTGTCAGCAGAAAAAGAATTAGCGTCACTCAATAGTAACTAAGTTTAAAATTTACTCAAAATCCATCGGTCAGTACACTAGAATTTGATTTATTTTGTTCTAAATTTCATCCGATTGCACAAGGACAGTACGGAAAAGAAGGGGAAAGTAAACTTTGCGGCCTAGGCCGCGGAAAAAAGGCGGTATGGTGGAGTCTCTAGAAATGAGTATCTTTTCGGACGCCACCCAGCGCTTAAAAGTTGAACTTTTGAAGCAAGTATAACAAAAAAGTATTCTTCTTTAAATTTATATGCTGTTAAGTTACGGATTTCAACATACTTTTTTTAGGGATTTGAAATTTCTTTTTATTTTTCAGCTCATAAAATTTTTTTCAAAGTGATTAGAAGAAAGAAATTTTTTGTTGTGTTTCTCAAATTATACACTTTTTTTGCTTTAGATTAGAATTTTTTCCACTAGTGAGCGTAGAATATATTTACAAAGTGGTTGGCAACAAAACATTTTTTATACGCTCTTTTGGCTTTACAAAGCCAAAGAGCGTACAGATTGGAATACTTTTTTTTGGCATTTGTCACGCAATATATTTAGTATATTTTCGGGATATATTATTCAGAAATATAAATTCAAAATAAACTTTTAAAATGATTTTTTTTTTTTTTTTTTTTTTTAATTTTTGTTAAAGTTGCTTTGATCGATAAACTACTAAGGTCATGATGCGACTACGGTAGGGGGTACACTTTTGAGATTGGAACTCGTTTGTATTTCTTGGGCTGAGCAGAATAATATACACTTAAGTATTGAAAATATTCATTGGTGTACGCCGGATTCGAACCCGGTCCAATGCTTTGGTAGCAAGGGCCGGATCCGATAGGCTACTGCGCGCCT